GACAACGACGACGACGTGGATGAGCGCGAGGGCGAGCGAGGGTGTAGGCGAGGGTGTAGGCGAGGGCGAGGGCGAGGGCGAGGGCGAGGGCGAGAGTGAGAACGGGGGTGAGGGTGAGGGTGAGGGTGAGGGCGATGGCGACGGCGACGGCGACGGCAATTTGGAGAACCACGGACGCTGGGCGATGGGTAGAGTTGTACGTGTACTAGTGCAGGGGTTAGGGAGTGGGTGGGTAGTTGGTTGGTTCGGCGGTGGATGCATAGGGGTGGTGCCATCGGTTCGGAGGCAAGAGGGAAAGGCACCGGCAGAATCCAACCTCACCAATCAATACTTAGGGTTCAAGGGCATCGCCCGACCAATTATCCCAGACTAATTGACGCGAAGAAAAAGAAAAAAAATTCTACCTTACTATCTTCGCTTTGTGCTTTTTTCACGACAGACGATGATTTTCCAGGAACGTTCTAAGAATGGTACGTCACAGAAGTTGGAAATCGGCAAGAAAGACTCAACGAGAAATACATTCGTTTTCAATAAAATCGTGTCCAAGCTGAAATCAAGTCGAAGAAACGTGGTTATTCATTCAAACTTTAGAGAAATATTTTAAAGGATAGATATGTTTAAGGAAATTTGTTTCGAGTCAAGACTGAACGCGGACGTGCATCTTCCAAAAATTCGAATTGGTAAAGTAAAATTCAGCAAATTGACAAAAAAGCGGAAAGGATGAAAAAGAAAACGTCGACAAAGTATTTTTATATGCATATGGAGAAATGTGAATTTCAGTTCTTTCGTGGAAAGAAATAAGGGGGCGACAAGAGAAATTCAACAGGTGTAAATCCGCAAAAAGATCGACCGTGGAAACGTTTCACGAGAACAGGAAGAACGCGAAGAGACGGCTGGGGGCTTGGTCCGTAAGAGACGGTAGAAGGTACGCGTTACACAACTATGCCGGTACGAAGAGACTCCTTGTTGGAGAAGAGCAGAAAAACCGAGGGAGAGGGGAAACGATGTGAAAGAGAGAAACGAGAGAAGAAAAGCAGAGAGGAGAATGTACGGGGGAATCCCCGAAGATAGTCGTAGGGTCGTCTCCGCTATTACGAATACGACGTCATAACGGAATTGATAATGTAACGGGCGTCTCGAGCATAACCTTTCTCTCTTCTTCTCCACGCTACATAACCTTTCTGAATGGGAGTATGAGACTCTCGCCACCACGTGCTTTTCGAACAAGTAGACCAACAACAAATAGACATCGAATCGAGGAGGAGCTCTCTCTATTATTAATGCAACCGTGCAAATCTTTCGTTTTTTATATCTCAACGTACAGCTCCACAAACTGTCTACTGTCTTTTTCTTTCTTTTTCCAAAAATTTCGTCCCTCTTTTTTACGAACTCTGTTTTTTCACATTACGTCACAAACATTATTCGACGAATCACATTTACGCATTCGATTTGCCTTTTAAAAATTCAATTAGCAGTTAGTTAACGAAAGCACGCATCAATTTACGATTATTTATGTGGTAAGATCTAAGAGAGTAAGATAAGACTCTTGCCGAATGTTTACGAATGTGAAATGGAGAAGCCGGATAATGTGGATGGCATAATTTCATGGACATTTCACAGGTTCTCCCCATGTTATACGCACGTTACATACACATTGCACGCACAAGATTATATTTTTTTATTCACAAAAAAAGTCGATCGATTCCTGCATAAGCACTGGACGAGTTAATTTTGTAACGTACAAGTCACACAGTCATTATCTTTCGACAAAATATCGAACAGAATTCGACATGCTTAACTTGAATTCATTGATTCACACCACAAATTTAACGTATCACTATTCGAAACTCGTAGACTGTCTACGCGTGTAGTTTAATTCAGCGAAATTATCAGAGCAAGCGATGCCTTTTGATTAAATCATCGAGGGTGACGATTACGCGCGACATGTTGTTTCCACAGCACACACGACACTTCACTCGTTTGATCGATGCTGCGTGCATTGTAATTCGTAATATTTATTCCAAAGTAGACTGATCGAATGTTGCATACTTGATAAACACTTAGCACCAAATCGTTGCATCTTTTCTTCATTCACAAAAAGGAAAAAAAAAAAAAAAAAAATACCGCTCACGATGTTTCTTCGTATTGCTAGATTATCACAGAATGATTTACAACAACATAAATTCATAATAATTGTGTTAGGCCTGATATTAAAATATACTAAAATATCCCAATAGTTCACGTGCACAATACGATCGTCCAAAATTCGGCGGTTAATAATACGTATCGTACCATGTAAAACTTTCGTCCCTTTTCTTTCTTCTCCCATCTTCTATTCCTTCTCCCTCCCTTTCTCTCTCTCTCTCTTTCTCTCTCTCTGTCTCTCTCTTCCCCTCTCCCCTCTCCCTCACCACTTGCCACTGTCTCTTTCTTTGTATGTTGTGAAAAGTTCGTCGGAGCAATATCCATTCTATGATAAGTACCAATAACGCGACGCGCCCGCCAAGATACTCTTCTATCCTGGTTTCTGGTGCGAAGAAACTTATATTGTTTATCACTTACCTGACAGCGATAATCCGTAGGCGAACGATCCCTCGTCGGAAATGTAAAGATGTGCACGAAAGGAAAACAATGAAGGCAAGAGAGAAAGAAATGGAAAACGAAGCAAGGAAACCGAAAGAAATGGGAAGAACGAGACGAATGGGTGAGAAAGAAACGATAGAAAGAGTAACTACAACAGAAAGGGAGGAAGAGTAAGGGGAAACAAAGCGAAAGATAACTAAAGAAAGAACGAGGAGAAAGGAGGAAAGGAGATGGAAGAAAGAAAAAGAAAGTAGACGGAAAGCCAGGGTAAGAAAAAGAGATGGTAGAGGGAAAGGAGAAGATAAAAGCGATGGAAGAAGACGAAGAAAGTGGAGAAGAAAAGTTATAAAAGGAAAGATGAGAGGATGAGGGAGAGAAAGAGAAGGAAGAAAATGAAACGGAGGAGAAAGAGGAGAAGAAGGTGAAGTATGAGAAGAAAAAGGGCAAAAATAAAAAGAAAGAGGAGAGGAGAGGAAGGAAAAAGGAGAAGAAAAAGAAGAGGAGGAGGAGGAAGAATAAGAAAAGAAAGAAAAGGAGGAAGAGGAAGAGGAAGAAGAAGAGGAAGAAGGAGGAGGGGGCGTAGAAGAAGAAGGAAGAGGAGGAGGAGGAGCAGGAGGAGCAGGAGGAGGAGAAGGAGGAGGAGAAGGAGGAGGAGGAAGAAGAAGAAGAAGCGCAGAAGTCACGACGAGAAAACGAGGTAGTATTGGCGTTAGTAGAGTTGACGTCGTGAAAAAGCCAGACGAAACCGTGTACGAGGAGGTTACGACCACGTAGAACGAGAGGATAATTCCTGGCAGGGCCCGATCTCCTACGCGGCGAAGCCCAACGAAAGTGAAATGGCATTCGGCGCTCCGTGCTGAGGGCGCACGGCATTCGGAGGAGCGAGGAGATGAAGAGGACGCGGTGAAGAGCGGGAGGAGGCAGAGGCAGAGGCAGAGGCAGAGGCAGAGGCAGAGGCAGAGGCAGAGGCAGAGGCAGAGGCAGTGGCAGAGGCAGAGGCAGAGGCAGAAGCAGAGGCAGAGGCAGAGGCAGAGGCAGCAACAGAGCCAGAGCCAGAGCCAGAGCTAGAGCCAGAGCCAGAGCCAGAGCCAGAGCCAGAGCCGGAGCCAGAGACAGAACCGAGGAGAAAGAGGAGTATCAGGAGGAGGAGGAGGAGGAGGAGGAGGAGGAGGAGGAGGAGGAAAAGGGGGAGGGGGAGGGGAGAAGTGGCGGCGGCGGCGGCGGCGGCGGCAGCGGAGGATGCCGCGAAATTCGCCGACGCGACGAACAAGGACGGATTCAGACCGCGCTCGAGCGTGTACAACGAGGAAGAGACTCGTGGGGGATGCGTGCTCGGCGGTGGACAGAGAGCGATTGAGCATACGCATGGAGTGAGCAAGCGAGTCAGCGCACCTGACCAGTCGCCGAGAGAGCGGGGAAAGGGGTTGAAAACCGGCGGGTGGCAGGATGGTTGGAGGAAAGCGGCGCACCGGTGAGGGGAATGAGCCAACACAAGTCCGTTCGGTGGAGGGGTGATAGAGAGCATCGAGCATGGCGGTTGGAACGGGGGATCGGCGGAGAGGCAAGTCTGCGGTGTTCGAGAGAAGCGTGCGCTCGCCTCTGACGGTTAAGCGACGAACATCGACGAGTGGTTCCCGTGGGAAAGAGCAAGACTTTCTCTGGTCGAACAAAAACAGAAATATAGTCTGTACCCGAATGAACGAGACGGAATATGGAAAACGAAGAGCTGAAATGCGTTTGGCTACAGTACAACAAAGACGGACGCAAGGTTCGCAAGAGAACGGAAAAGGATGAAATCGTGGCTCTACTCTCGGCACGACAAAGCTAGCGTTATATTATACTCGGTGAACACGCTGATCCCGACTATATATACGTATATGCGTGCATACGCGACACAGGCAGAAAGAAAAAGAGGAGGGATGAGCGCTGCAGTGATGTATACTTGAAGATAGGATCCTGATTTTTACGTGTTACTATTAAATTACGAGAGAATTTATATTTTCAATCGGTTGAATTGGAAATACGTATACGATATGATACGATTTCACGTAATACAAAATGAAAGAAACAAAAAATGAAAATGAAGATTTTTTTCCCTAGGTTGATATACACACGTATGTACGTGCATGCTGCAACGATTTTAACAAAAAGTTCAAGAAAGTAATAGTTCTTAACTGATTTATCCTTTCTAGAAAACTGCAAGTTTATTAATTAATTGGCGCATTGAAAACCTGAAGGAACACACGAAAAAGACCAAGCCATCTTCATTTTCAATGGAATTTGTGATATAGACCCAACATGAGACGACGAAAGACCAGTCTTGCGTTAAGCAAGATATAATTCGATTCGATGCGATTCGACTCAATTCGACTCCATTTGATTCGACGTGACTCGATTCATGAACTACATGATGATTCGCATCGTCGAAGAACGAGAACTCCAATTCGGAAGATCGAGACCATTGCAAGAAAGAATAGAAAAATCGAAACAAAGTGAAACGAAAGAAAGAAAGAACGAAAGAAAAAGAAAAACCGTCCATAGAAGGGGGAAAGTGCTCCAGAAAGAGAGAGGACACGAGACATGAATTTCAGTGCTTGCGCGGACAAAAGGAATTTGCGGCTCCAATCGTTCCTACGCACACGCGAGCTTACTGTATACATGCATACATGAATAACGTCCAAGTTATGCGGCACGAATGCACGCCACTGTAGAAACCGCGTGTCTAAAGTCGACCGAAGAAGCGCGAATTCTCTTGTTTCTCTCCGTTCGACATTGCCGTTCGCTCTCCTTCCCTTTTTGCAGCATCTTCTTCTTCTTCTTCTTCTTCTTCTTCTTCTCCGTCACTCTTCTCCGCGTTTCTCTTCTTGTATTCCATCTCAACTCTTCTCCTCCCATCATTTCTCTTCTAGTTTGCATCTATTAAGAGGAATAAAGAAAGCACGATCACGAATGCTGTTATGCGATCACGCTACGCTGCTTACTTTGATGCGTTGTACTCGCACCCTTCCGATTCTCTTTCCCGCTCCGGAACAGAAAAACATTATTAGTTGTAACTGTCAATAATTGAATCCAATCGAAATCGTAACACTTGCAACGAGATGCATATCACACGTTGACTTTCAAGACGCCCAACACGATGCTTTTTCTATTGCTTTTGTCTTCCGTTTGATGATAATTAATGAAATGAAAACGAGATAATGCGATTGTAGTGTTTATCTCATTTCTTCTATAGTTACAAAAAGGAAAGAAAGAAGAAAAAGAAGAAGAAGAAGAAGAAGAACAAAGATCTGTTCTGAATCTCGTTATCGTTGAATGTCATCAATTCGATCTCTGATTAAAATACGTATAATCAAACTGCCTTCAAACATTTTCCAAACGAATTTCCAATTGCACTGATCGTCTCTAATATAACAGCAATTATCTCCTAAAAATTGTAGACTTTCAAAAGCCCAAGTTAAATTTAAATTAATAAATTTAAGTCGCGTCAAGTTCAAGGTAATGACGAAAAACAAATACCGACATGTCTCTTTTGTTTCTGATCTCGTCGAGGAGCCTGTCCGGAGTTTCTCGCCAATTAGTCAAAGAAAAGAAATACTGATTGTAAATGTATGCAAGTACAAGCACGTTGTACACTATCTATTTTGCTTTTCTGCCCGCTATACTAGCTACGATCCGCCTATTAAGGCAACGACTCAAACTTACTTATTCATCAATCTGAAATTCAGACCGATCGGCGATTTATCATATACTCCTAAGTGTACATACATGTACATATTTGCTCATACGCAAGAACGTATTCGATTTAATATACACGCACGACACGTACATATGTGTACATACATATATATACATATACATGTTGTCGTCTTTATTGTTAATTTTTGTGTCAAGGACAGCAAGTCGAAAAACCACTCATCGGATGTAACTACAATTTATAAGCTTTTTTTTTTTTTAAAAATGAAACGCAAGCCATTTTTTCAATTGAACGGAATACATTGCATTACAAAGTCATACAAATTTTTTCCTCTCTCTTTCTCTCTCCCTCTCAAATGATTTATCGATACAAAGAGAAGAGCAATATAGAGGATCGTTACGAATAAAAAATTAGAAAAGTCCTTGAAAGCTTATTTCTAAATGGCTTTCAGTTACGTGTATGCTCTAAACGAGTGCAAAATACAGAATATAAAATACAACGGTGCAATTGAGTACAAAAATTTGAATCAATAACACCAAGGGACTGACGTCACTGCATGCCAACACGTTTTGTTGCACGAATTGGGCTGAAAAGGGGGCAAAAAGTCGTAAAACAACGAAAGTTGCAGCACCATTTACAAGATTTTTCAAATATACCGCGCAGGAGATAAATAAGGAATAATGTAAGGAAAACATTAGACTTTCATATGTTTGACAAATGTTTGACAGATGTTTTTTTTTTTTTAATTTATGGTTACCGTCGCATCGACCTTCTGGTCATTAGCGACGGCTTCGTGCTGTTTCCTTCTTTTCTAGACAATTATATCTTATGGTAGATGTTAGTTTCCTTGTGACGTCAGGGCTGCTGGTGATGTTATTTTGTATTTTTGCCTTTGGGAGTGGTACTTGCAGCATTATAATAATAATGATGATGGGTTGATATTATTCGGTTACATTGGTTAGACACACATTGGGGGTTCTGTTTTTCTTAATAGATAACTCATGTGTGAGTTTGCAGTCCTGTTCTAAGCCTTGTCATAACTATTCTGTCTTTTCTTTTCATGTTGTTGGTAGGCATTGTTTGAAAGAAATCTTGGGTTATTTCATGTGTTTTTATTTTTCTGGAGGTGTTCCATATTTTGTTCCACGATTGTTTTTCGGCATGGTGTAATGTTACAACGAGGTCCTGATAAGGGATTCGCTTGACAGATGATTATATACTACCAGTTTGCCAGCATAAATTCAGTATTAGAAAATTATATACCGTGATCAGCTTAGCGTGAATTTACACCTCTAGCTCGGTGGAAATTTGTCAAAAAAAGCTTGTCGCAAAATTCTCTTTGATGTTGAATTTCAAGATCAAATTTTTTCAATTTTGACTATTTTTTTAGTAAAAGATTCATTTTATCACTAAAACAAGAAATGAATCGAAGGAGGTAAAAAAAGTTATAAGAAATGGTCAAAATTGAAAAAAGCCGCTAAATTAGAAATTTATCAAATCTTTTATTGTTGTATCGTATTCTACTCTTCACGAAAAATTATAACTCTCTCCTGCAAAACGTTCTTCATGTTTTGTTAGCTTTTGTCTTTATTAACAACACGTTTACATTTCATAATTTTATATATATAAAGTAACATATTATCGACGATGGAGCAGGAAAATGTTTTCTTTAATTTTTGATTCTTTTGATAAATTTGAGCCTAGCGATAAGTAGAATACGATATATTTCATAATACGAAATAAATTTTTTTTCGGCTACGATAGTACTAAAAGAAAAACATGTCGTCGCTATTTTAAAAAGGACGATGATCTTGATAACCAGAAAAAGAAATATTTTGTTGAGAAATATCGTGAATCACAATATTTGTTGTTTGGAACTAAATAATAACCTTGTCTTGACATATTTCTTTGCGTTGACAAAAATAATAAAGATAAAACAATGTATATAGAATTTAATTACAATCGATCGTATATTGAGCGAAAGTGAACCTCTAATATTAGTCTAATATTAATCGAAATCCAACCTCTAATATTAATTGTAGTCGTGATAAGTAGAGAATTTAATTGATAACTTTGACATATACAGAACGATTCTTATAAAGTGATCGATTGAATTTTTTTCAAAATGGAAAGAGATACGAAAAATGATGTTTTGATTTAAGAGGGAAGTATATTGATTTGATTATACTATATATATATATATATATATATATATATATATATATATATATATATATATATATATATATATATACACATTGTGGGTGAATGTATTTAGGTAATCTCAAAGTTAATTTAATTTTTTTAAATAGGATTCTATATATATTTTGATGGTGTTTTGTGTGACGAATATACAAGCTTATCCACAGTCATAACATTAACTCACAAGAAAATTTAGCTGTCATATTTCATTTCTAATAATTTTTCTATGGATATGTAAAGATTCGGCTTTCATTTGTTAACACGAATAAATTTTGCCAGGACATTGGCTATCGGCGGATTCTTGTCAAGACATATCAAAAAGTTTACCAGAAGAAACCAATAACTCATATGACAATATTATGAATCATCGAAGCAATTCGTACAATTTCAGTTGCAGTTCTGGAAGAATCTACAGGAGTAGTAAATTTTTTCTACTGAATTATTCTTTGCAGACGAATAAAAAATAATTTTGAGTATTTAATATGATAACACATATTAATTTTTTTAATATACATGTTATCATCTCGAAATATGAATTAAAAATTTTAATTATTATTAAATACATATTATTCTCTCGAAATATGAGTCAAAATTTTTGGCTCTCAATAACTTAATATGATCTTGGATGAAATTGTGCCACAGACAATGAACACCATCAAAATATTTCTCCTTAAAACAGAACATTTTTCATTTGAACGATTTTTTCGCACCTCTTTCCATTTTGGAAAAAAATTTAATCTACCCTTTTATAACAATTACCTTATACAACCATTTTCGATCTTTTTTCAATTTATTTTCTTCTGGTGACAATAATGCAATAAAATCGCTTCTTTCGATGATTTTCTTCCGCCTTGTAATAAACATCATCTTGCTTTATAAATTTTTAATCGAATCTTATACATTTTCTTTCAATCATTACTAGGCAACATATTACATAAATACATTCTAAAAGTATTAAATAAATTCTAATTATTCGATATTGTGCGAATATCTTAATTTCATTGTTTGGGACGATGATCTTAAAAATGTTGCTCTTAATAACGCGGCTTTTATTTTATATAATCCTTTATGCTAACTATTGATCTTTTCGTACCAAAGTACAAAATTTCCTACCTATCTAAATCTCTCGAGATTCCTTATTGTTAGATTTATTCTGAGTAAACTTATCCGCCAGTGTCCATCGAGTTTATAGTCCGTTTACACTGTCTATCAGTCGTCGTGCGATTAAATTCGGACCAAAGTTAATGACTAGACTCGACAATTCGAAATTTGTCAGTATCACAGAGACACTATGTTGGACAAAATGGAAATTATTACAATTATGAAATTATTTACCAAAAAAGGAAAAGAAATATTGGGTGTATCTTTTAATATAAAAATGCTGTAATAAAGGATTATTCGTATAATTTTTTCATTCGACGAGCTTTTAAAGAAGAATTGAAAGAGCTTACGAGGTTTTAAAGTAGTTAATAACTAACAGGAATATAGAGGCCTCCCATCTCTCTCCTGAAGAAAAACTATTTCCTACTTTAAATTATTTATTCAATATTATGCAACAACAAAAATAATAATTATAATAAATATAAATAAGAAATATTGAGCCTAGTCGTTGAGTGTTAAATAAACTGGAATTCTAAATGGTATATTTTGTATATGGTAAGATTTTGAAATTCCAAAATAGTCTATTAAAAAAATGCTTATGGTGTAAATGCATGCATTTGATTCAATGTATTTCATTAGTTGTAATAACCAACTCATTCGTTGGAGTTGGAGTTGGATTCGCCAACTCGTAGGCGCCCACATACATATTCTTTTGTCAAATGTACAATGGTGATTGATCGACCGGGCCTATAGATACATTAAATTCGTACAAGGATTACTTTCATTCTTAGGAACTTCGTACGCCAAACCAAATACAAAAAAAGTTACCTAATTGTAACATTACATATGTATATAACGAGGAGAGATTGACATAATGATATTAAACTATTTTTTATTTTTGTTGAAAATTAATGAATCT